TGCAGGTAGGCGGGCCCGCTCGTCGGGTCGGTCCGGTGGGTTGCCTACCCGCCGCCCGGCAGGCGCCTGCGTCGCCTCTCGCTCGCCCGGTGCGTGCGGCAGCGTGCGGGGGCCGGGGCCGGCCGCCACCCTCCTGCAATGAGGTCATGGGCTGGGGCGTGGCGGAGGCCGGGCCGGGCCGGCGGGAGCTCCAGCCCCCTGTTCCCACTAGCACGACCCCCTGCTGGCCACACCGGCCACACGTGGTCGGAGCAGCCAAGGTTGCCACCGCAAGATGTGGCGCGGGAAATTGAATACTGTTGTTATACTTGTGGAGCGTTTGCAGGGTTATTGTTCTCTCATGGCTGTGTGTGTTGCAGGACTTGACCGCGCCCCCTTCAGCTGCCGGTGATGCCTGAGTGGCTGCGGCCTGCCGGCCCCCCGTCCCTCTGCCCCTGCGCCCACCCCGTCGGCCATCCAGACCGCCGCTGCTGGCCGAACCCCAGACCCCAGCCATGCCTCGTCTCAATTTTCCACCGGACCCTTCGTCTGAGCCGGAGGTAAAAGTGGCCTCGCTTCCTCTCGTAGTTTTCTGTTCTTTTCTGAAGCTACATGTTTATTTTGTATCTATTTATTTACTTTCTCGCACCTTGTTTTTTCTGCTCTTTTTAATTTTTTTTAATATTTTTTTTATTTTTGTTTGTTTTTTGTTTTGTTTTACAGAAAGAGCCCTTGCAGTTTAACATTAACTTAAGAGGAGCGCCCGAAGAAGTTGTGCAGTTGGCACACAGCATCAAAGATGTAAGACATATTATTATTATTATCATGTAGATGCATACTGCATGTTCTTGTCACAGGTTCTACATGATATGTTTGTTTTGGAATCAGGTTGCAGAGCAGTTCCTCTATCACTGGAAAACTTTTCCTATTTTGTTACCCCCACCACTGGCGTGCGCCAGTGGCACATGTAAGTCGTGTAATGACAACAGTGGTGGGGGGGCTGGAGGCAACGGAGGAAATGTTGGCAATGGTATTCCGAATCATATGATGAGTTCCATCACCAATTCCCTTGACATCAGTCTTGATGCTACAGGTAATATGTCTTTCATCACACAATAATTTCCCGATCAATTTTTCCTGCTGCTTTACTATACCTCAGCTTGTTGTCAGGCCTCTAGTAAACGTACTTGTGTTTTTATGGACCTTACTGAGTTTTCTCTGTGTTCATTACACAGAGGGAAGCAGTTGGACTCAGTCACTTGGGCGCCGTCATAAGCAGTTAAACCTGAGGGACCTGTTTGTGGCTCCTTCCTTTGACGAGTTGGATGCTGTAGCAGTTGACAACAAGGGAGAACCCCACCGTCTGAACCACAAACAACTTGAATCCATTAGAGAAAGAGGGTATGTTATTACTATTTTACAAATCATTGTCATCTTGAACTAGCAGACAATTCACAATGTAACAACTTTCTGACAGGTTTCTAAGTTTTATTAACAAATAGATTAATGTACACTTTAAAGGCCACCATTAGAGGTTCCCCTCTGTGAACTTTTATGGTTACATACTGTACAATATGTAAATATGAGGTATACCAGGTGTCAGATTAAACCCGCTCATATCTGAAGTTATGCTGTACCGCAAGCACGAGTGCGGGTGGACTTGCCTATCGTCCCTGTCCACGGGGCCGAGCTGGTAGGCAGCATAACTACAGATGTGAGCGGGGTTAATCAGCCACCTGGTATTTTAACTGTACAAACACATGGGTCAAAATGCCCATTAAAGTATTTACATCTGTACAGTGGCCCTTTCAGTGTTATGTATTTTCATTGAGGAGCTAACTCAATGTTCTATTTACCAGGCCCGCTTGAGTTTCTTATTTCATATGATTAAAGTCGGTACCTAATCTTGAACTTGTATGAGAAGTAGTGTGTCGGCATCCTTTCAGCCACAAAGTTCCTTTTCTTCCTTCCCTGTGCTTTGGTAGCCTTGCTTCATGTCCTAAAAAATGTTTGAATATTTTGTGTGGTTCTGTTTTGAAAGCTTGCATAAGGACAAGTATGGCAAGCCGAAGAAGCTAAGTTCCTCTCAACTGGAGACTGTTCGCAGATGGGGGTAGGTTGCATTGACTGTGACTTTCTTCAGTCCAGTGCACTGCTATCTTCTCCTTGTCTGGATTAGTTTATTGTTTTTTTAGTACTGGCATTTTGTACTTTTAATGTCATTATTATCACCATTTCTTTTTGGCATGCAACTCACAATTTACTGAACCTATTCATATTAATATCTTTCCTTGTGTCAAACTGTTAACTTAGATGCAACAGCACACCTTTCCATGCACAAACAACTATAAAAAATATTCCATGCCTGCAAACTTTACTTTTCCTTAAAGTAAAAAGTGATATTTGTTGTATTTCAATGAATATTGTGAAGCTTATTTTTTCTTAAACACTACATCATTGTTTCCAGGGAGTTTGAAGTTGAAAGTCTAAACTTTCCTGGACAAGTACACAAGTGGCAGTTGAGTCAATTTCTTCAAAAGGGAATCGAAAGAAGTCGTGAAAGTTTGCTTAATGACCTTGCCCTAGCCTTAAGATTTTTGCTTGTGACTGCTAGAGCAAGATTTACATCACATTTCTTCAGTGTATCAGAGTCTCTTCAGTCTTTCTTGAGTGGCTTATTGCGACTTCTAGGTAAATGCCATTGATTTTTCTTTTGTTATTTATAGTTAGTTTCTGAATTTCTAAATATTTTTTTTGTTTCTTTTGGTATAGATATAGTTATTGGGATTCCGTCTCTTCAAGCACACAATTTAGATGCCAAGATTCGAGAAGAGCGGTGTAGGTACCTTGTTGCTGAGTTGGTTTGTCGGGTGTGTATTTATAATTTTCTATCGTGTTCAAATATTATTGTATGCCTTCTGTCATTGACATTCTCTACTTTTTTTATCACAGCATGAATTTGAAGACACGTTAGAAGTACTGTGTAACTTTGTCCGACGCCAAATAAAAAGGGCAACTATGGAAAAATTTGAGCTTGAGAAAGAATCATGCCATCCTCCAGTACCTGTACCGTATCAATTTTTGACACCAAAGGTAAACTTGTTTCTTTGGTTTATTTGCTTTGCTTTATCTTCACAATTATGTGGCACACTCACTTAATTTTCAAGCTTTGGAAATCTGAACATAGTTGTTGTATATCATCAAGTAATTAAGGCAGTTCCTTGTCTTTCTTTTTTGTGTTGTTGCTTTAGATTGACACTAATAAATATAACTTTTTTCTTTTCCAACTAGGGAATTGAACTGGATTTGCGCCTTTTCAGTAGGGACATTATGAAACGTGCACTTCCAATTTTAGTTAGTATTCTTGAGAGAGAAACAAGAGGATGGTTCCTTCATTTTCGGGAGAGACTGATTGCAGAGTTGCGCACTCGTAAACTTCCAGATGATGAAATTGAAAAGGTACACACAAACTACTTGGCAACTTTGAATCTACGTTAAATACAGTGCTCTTATATACTGTAACGAATTTTCTTTTCTCATTATTAGGAGGTTAATCAAGCTGTAATGCGGGAGTACTTACAAAGGGTGTATACAAGTATTCTTACTCATCCAGAAATTTTAGCTCTTGGAGAAGGCATAGCACAACTACTAGTACAACAGGCCCAAAGTGTTGTCCTCATGCATAGGTCAGTCTCCTTTTATATTGATTATCATTGTGGAAGGAATTTTCTGGGGCATTTCATGAAACTATTAGGTTACTATGAGGTCTCTCACTTTTCATTAGTTAAATGTAAAATTAAATTTGTTTTTTAGAGCTGTGGAGAATGTTCAGAATAAACTTTCCAAAACCAAAGAAAATTTAAAACAAAGAATGGAACTTTCCCATCCGGTACTTTCAAGAATTGAACCTTGGATGAGAGAAAAACTGAGGAGTGCTGAGGGGCGGTTTATTGAAGATTGTCAGTGGAGCGCTCATGAGGAAGCACTCACACTTTGCACAGCGCAGCACTTACACCAAACTGTGTACTTTTTAAACAGAGATCTTACATTTATGAGAGAGGTATGCATTTTCAACTCATTTATGTATGATGTAAAGGTATGATCACATATTAAATTTTGTATCTCTTAATATTCAAGCGAGAGCCTGTTCTTACTAAAGAACTCCGTAAGGTGAAAACACCTACCAGAACTTTTCAGTGGCTGACCCGTATTTGGCTTCCAACCCACTGGGTGGTTAGACGAAATTTTCAGGGTCAATCAGACAAAATACCTACAGTTCTCAGTAATCAAGCAACATCAATTACAACTCCACGGTCTGACCCAAGCCAGGTGAAGTTTTATAATTTATGTATATTGTGACATGGATCTCCAATGTCTTTACATACTTTTTTCTTACCAATGTTTCTTTTGTTTTTCTGCAGCCTGTGTTTTTGGTAGAAAAGGAAGAAGCAAGAACTACAACAACTCGTTGGCCCATGTGGCGCTGGATAAATTACTGCCATCGAACATGGAGTTGGACTTGGAATGCCATGTTTTTCTTTGGGGTATGTGTCTTGTATGTTTCTGTGTTTCTGTAGGGATCTGGTTTACATCAACGTGATTATTATAACGAATCTGAAATTATTACATTACATTATAGATTTGGTTCTTACACTTTTTCCTTTCTTTCTCCAGGTTGTGCTTCCATGGTGTAGTCCTCTTAGTCTTCGTGCTCTATTTTGTGCTGAACCTTTCATGCCAGATCTTGAGCTTTCCCAAGTAAATGGAACACTTTTCCCTCGGAAGTCATCATTGACTCCAACTCTTTGTTCTCGTATGCTGGTATTATGGAGGCATATTTCCAAATCTCGAACCCATTTTGAAACAAAACCAGACACAGGTACACGTGTTTTCTCTTTCACAAATGACTTGGAATTCACTGAACAATGAAGTTGGTATAGTTGTACTAATGTGCAATTCCTTTCTTAGGGTTCATCGGGAAAGGCTTCACAAGACATGTTAATCGGTTTTGGAATTACATTGTTAAGGGCATCATGGGTACTTTGGCTATTGGTATTCTATTCCCAGCTCTCTGCCTTGGTGTTAGCTTTAGTAGTATTGCTATTGCTATCACAGCAGTATTATGGTATGCATCCTGATCATTTTGGAAAATGATTTAAAATTACAATCATTTGTTAGCTAAAAGAAAAATATGACAAAAAAACTATTTTTGTTTTCTCTGTAGGATGCCGTGTGTAACTCTCATCCTTCACATATTAATGATGTTATTTTATGACGTCGACTCACCAGATGCCTCACGTAACAGATGGTTTATGATACTGGAGGCAGTGGTCTGGAATATTTTAATGCAGGGTTTATTGCAGCCAGTTGCTGCTCTTCTGGTTGCTGTATTTGTTTGCCCATTAATTTCTTTTTCTATTCTGTCAGGTAAAATATACCTGAATACCTTCCTACTTGCCATTGTATATTGTTTCCTGGATAATTTAGATGTTGTAATTTTCCCTCTGCAGTTGGAGTGTGTCGCTATGGCATGCGTTTAGTATGGGATTCACTTGTCTTTCATCTACTTATTAAAAAAAGGGGGCGAATCCCTGCTTGTGATAGCCTTGTTGTGAAGAGGATAGCTGGACCTGGCCTAGCTTCAAACTATTACTACCAGGTAAGTTGAAGCTGTATGTCTTACTAGAAACAGTAGTTGATAAATATTTCAATCTAATCTATAATTTGTTTATAATCTATAATTTAATCTAAATTTTACCTCTTAGATTCGACCTGAACAAGCACTTGCAGCTTTTGAGGCAAAAATGGAATTAGATGAGTTGTCTGCTTACCAACATCAGATCGAACAAACAATACTGCAGCCTCAACGTGATTATAGGTACAAATTATATTTTTAGTACTTGTTAGAGAAATTATTTATCTGATTTATCCATCTTGCCCTGTCTTCTATTATAAAACTTGTTGCTGTCAAATTTTACAGTCAGTTTGTTGAGGCCTGTTTTGGTCCGTTCTCTGCCCAGTTGTCAGTGAAGTCTGAGCCTTACAGAGAACTTGAGAAAGAAGCTGCAGATCTCATAAACTGCTTGCAGGAAAAATTAGAGAGACGAAGGAGAGTACTGCAGACTGGGCTCGCTTCAAGTGTCAGGTCAAAAGTGAAGCTTACCACTATGGAACTTAAGGTAAGTGCATTACATCAGCATCAGTTAATGAGTTTAATATTATTCTTTGTGTACTGTAGTTTGTTAATTTTAACCCAAATATTGGTTGCAGATGTCCATTCAACAAGCTGCCCTTCTCCTGGAAAAATTCTATCCATCACATGTTCTTCGTAATCTTCCTTTGCTTGAAGAAGACTTTTGGGAAAATAAGGGACTTGTTCCACATGACTGGGCTGGACTTGCAGGCCTCATGTTCGCTGATATTTTTAGTCTAGACTTCCTCACTCCACTAGATGAGGGGGATACCAAATTTAGACTGGAGGTAGTCAGAAAATGCCTTATATGATTGGTCAAATGTTATGACTCTGATCCATTACCTACTGCCTATATTCAAATCTCTATCTTTTTTCTATATTTTACAGCCTCATCCCCAAGTGGACCTTTCTAGATATACAGATATGCTACAATCAACTGAACTTCTTACCAGCAGACCTGATTTATTAGGGCCTGTATATTCACCACGAGCTAACCTTCAAATTCAATCTCCATTTCTGGATGTTTCTGTCTTCAACCCAAGGCGTGTAATGGGTGCTAAGCATGACAGAAGAACGTATGTAAAGTGATAATTAATATTGTTTTCTCTTAAGATATTTCTAAGCCGAGAATCTCACAAATTGTTTGAAAATTTCAGGGAGGGTAGTGGTGTTATGGGGAGCCGTGTTAGAATGCGGAAGATGGCTGAGAGTCCAGCCCAATCTTGTGCAATAACTGCACCAAGTACAGTGACAATCACTGAAGCTCACAGCGAGCATAAAAACTCTTCTCTTGGGGTTTGGCGACCTTGGAAGCGGCAGTGTATTCCATATAGTGCTGAAAAACTATTAATCCCCTTGCCAATCCCTCACCCTGCTCATATTGCTATTACAATTCATAATCGTGATACTGAAGATCCAATACCCCTTGACTCAGATCTGTGCCAAGAGATATTGCGTGCAGTAGAGGATGCTTATGGCATGAAGTGCTTGGCAGCAGACCTCGAAGGCCACAATGTTGTGTCAAGGTGAACAATAGAGAAATTTGTTCAATTTTTTTTTTCATTTTTGCTTGTTTACTTTTAGTTTAATTGTTATTTCTTGTTTTGTAGATATCGAGGGGGTCCAGGTGACAGCAGCTTTGATAGTGCTGCATCTCGCAGCTCACTTTCATCAGATTGTTCACGACCAGCAGTGGGGGATGGTCTTAGTGATGAACGCAGCAGTACAAGCATCATAACTTTTAGAAGGGACACACTCATTGCTCCCTCACAAGAAAATGAACAGAGATCTGAAAGGAGGGAAACTGATCATGAAAGCTCAACATCAGGGGGGAACCGTGTTGGAGAAGGGTCAGACAATTTTAACTGGAGGCCAACTGACTGGGCTGGCGTTATGAGAAGAAAAAGGAAGGACTCTGGATCAGTGAGAGTAGACCTTGCATCTCCTGAGGATGTAACTCTGGATGCAGATGGAACCTGTGTTGTATTTAGTTCTTATGGAACTACTGTCTGATGACAGAAATGGTTTAACTTAATGAAACCATCAGTTCTCCATTCCTAATTTTTGTATCCAACAAGGGGAATTGCATATGAGTGCATACCTCCTCATTTTATGTATTTATTACATATAGAGTAGAAAGCATATCACCGTCCATTCAACACCAAAACTTGCTCCAGCTCAGTTATGCATTACCTCACTGTATCTACCTTTTACTTCCGTTTTTATCTCAAGACTCACTAAGCCTGAGGTTTCAGGCACCTGCAGCCTGCAGTCATTAACTTATTTGATGAGGAATTTACCCTTATCAAAGATAAGACAAGATACAATTATTATTACTGAGTAATGGTATTATAAATTTTTATGTTGGTAGCCGCTACATATAAAAATTCCTTTTAGAACAACTTCAAGAGACCTCAGCAATTTTTATGTGGAAACAATCAACAGGGTCTTAAAAATTCTACCATAACCGAATGAGAAATTCAAAGGTACCGAAAAATGCTCAAAAATTCTATTCTGAAAAATGTATTTTATTGATCCAAATAACATCTACTTATACAGTCATAAGTTGAAAAGATTAATGTAGTGGGCACATACTACAGATGTCCTTTTTTGTGTCAGCTAATAGCTAAGGTTACAAAAATTAGTAGCTATTAGGGGATGTAATTCCCTCATCAGAGAAATTGAGTTAGGTTTTGTATTCTATATTTACTTGTACAAAAACACTACACAAGCTATGGGACTTAAAATTACTTGCTTTTTGCACTGCCACACATATGAAGAACTAATGCAAATTCCTATCTTTTAGAAATATAGTTATCAACTATGGTTTGCACTCTGTATAGTAAAAGTTCACTTTTAAAAACAAACTGAAAAGGAATAAATTGTACAGATCATCTTCTTATTAGATCTATGTCGAAGTGTTATGTCTGAATGATCTCTTTGCCAACAATTCTTTTATAATTTTTTGTTGTTATTGTAAGGAAGAAATTTCTTCTATTTGCTTTCCCCATAAGGTCAATCAAGTTCCTTGGTGTGTAATGTTGCAGTGTAGTCAGAAGTCCTATGCAAGTTGTAGAGTATCTCAGTCTGCCTGCATTGGATCTCCTAGACATACATGTGGACTATTTCTATTTTGGCTTTTATTGAATAGACTGTTTTCATTTTACCAGTTGATTTAACTGTGATCTCTTTTAATTTGTATTGTCGGCTGGAAAAAAATTGATCATCCACACTCATACATATTTTTTGTTTCTACATTTACCTAGCTTTTTCATGTTGGCAATATATTTTCCTTCTCTAAATCAAAACAGTTTAGTGGTGCCTTAGACATGCTTTCCTTTCTTGGCTTGCTTAGAGCACAAAAGTATATTGCTCACTTTTATGTACTAATCAGCTCTTTTTACTCACAGCTTGACTGTAAACTTTTTAGATGTGCATGATCTGATATCTTGTGATGTACTTTTGTTAGCTATGAGCATTTACAATTTTGTAAATTTTTTCTGATGAGGTTGCAACCACTGTTGAGACTGGTGTGCACTTGTAAAGTTTGCTGTAGCTTCTTCGAAAGAAATCTTGTATTATGAGCTTGTATAAATCATAATTCTGGAAAAGACTTTGATATCATACTTTTATGGAAAGTAATGTCAAACTCCAAACATATTCATGGAAAGAGGCTTAATTTTTATGCAAGAACTTTAGGCTCAAGCACCCCTTTTGCTTAAATAGTGGTTATCACCTCATGCATTGTAACAATGACTGCCAATAACATTTTATACCATTATTGTATCATTATATTAATGATTGTGATTAATACTGTTTACTGTATATTAGAGCATTTATATGACAAACTGAAATAAGTTCACTGTCCATACTTAATGTGACTAATTTAATGAAAGACAAAATGTTATTTGTGATAGATATGTATATAATTAGAATTTTATATTTGAAAGGTTTTGTGAGAACGGTTTCTGTGTTATGGCGATTTTGGGTATTCTCTTTTGTACTGGACTTCCCTATGTTTTTTTAAGTTTTTTTAATGCATATTTTTGAATTCTTGCTGTATTTTTAAAGCAAGAAGGCTGAAAGTTTTTCTTTTATACATATACATTATCAGAAACTGTATATACCAGTTTGGAGTTCACTTCACCTTCTCATTGATTGTCTATGAATGAAACAGCAGAGTCATTCTTTAGTCCGTAACATTCAGAACCTTTCTGCACCTTGAAAACTTCATCCTTGTACAGCCATGGTAGCCATGAGGGTAAGTGGTGCTCCTTTTCTAGTCACAACCACTCTTTTAGTTTCAGAACATGTCGTAAATAATTTTTCATGAATGCTCGTTAATGAACATCAATTGAATTGATGAGTTGTTATGAGTATGTATAAATGAAATGGGTTATACCATGAAATAAAATTCTATTCATACATTAAAATTGTTTTCTATTGCCTTTTGGGGAGCCCCCCAATTATCAAGCATCACATGCAAGACCTACAACATCTACAACATATTACACATTATGTTCCCCGAGGACTTATGATGAAAAATTTCTGAAGGGTTGAACAATAGACCCTATTCTGTCTCGGCTGCGGGAGAAGAAAACGGGAATCCCGACCGGAACCAGTACCTTTATCCTGCCATTTCTTCGCAAGAAAACTTGAAAACCCGACATACAAAAATTATCACAAGCATTGTGGATTGTGCTTCTACCTTCCAAAGCCATTTAAACGTTAAAATAGCGTTATTTATCGGAACTGGTTCCGGTCGGGATTCCTGTCTTCTTCACTTTTAGCCGAGAACGAATAGGGTCTATTGCCAAAAACGTTCCGTTGATTTGTTTTGACATTTCAATCGGAATGTAAATAAACAAGACCGACAAGCAGACGACGTGGTTATTGTAGTAAGATAGGACGTCTGAAAAAAAAGAAGACAGCAGATACATCGATAAGGTACTTGCCTTCGGAGACACCAGATTAATTCAAGATCGCAACAGCACTGTAGCACACAAAGATATGCAATATTCAACAAAACTACAAAATAGGATACGCCCGTCCTCAGGACAGCGTTCGGATGTCGGCAGCGGCAGCGTGAGACCGGAAGGCGAGGATGAATCATGCACCAGTCAAGAGCATCCTCCGCAAAGGGTACGTCGACATTCTGTTCCTATTGAATGGAAGAAGCAAATGTGGGTGTTGCGTAAAGTAGGGCGGATCTCAAAGAAAATATTTATTCAGTCAAACCGCATTTAAACCGAAAGAATACTTCACTTAACAGCAACCAAAACACTAATGACCTTGGCTGGCTTCGCCACTTTCGCAGTCACGTGACAGTTGCAGCCAATAGGAACACACGCGTTCTACAGCGTACCCTGCGCGGAAGAAGTGCGCAAATGTTCAGTAACTTTACAAAATGCCGTCGGAGGCGAAACCTTTGTTGACAGCTCAGACAGAAAAGCCTAATCATTATTCGTAAGTGGTTCAAAAGGCTCATTTTGAAGTCGCGGAGTGTGTGTTTTGTGTTAGAGTTTCTTTTTGAGAGCTCGGAGTAACGAAAACGGTCCACTTTTCAGGTATTTGAAGGAATTTCGCGTCGAGCAATGCCCCCTCTTTCTGCAGCATAAATGTACACAACACAGACCGTATACGTGTTTTCACTGGCATTTTATGAACCAGAGGCGTCGCCGGCCTGTTAGGAAGAGAGATGGTGCATTTAATTACAGTGCAGACAATTACTGTACGAAGTTTGACGAAACTACAGGATTGTGTCCAGAAGGGGACGAGTAAGTGGAACTTTTGTTTTTGTCTAGCTTTGTCTCGACCCGCTTTAATCCTTATCATACTGCTGTGTTTCAATTTGTATCTCAATCTATGTTCCTCCTTCTTGGCGTTATATTTTGGAGAATATGGGTTTAATAATTCTAATATTCCAATTAGCATCGCTTGACTGATAGCCTAGAACCTAACCTCATCTTGTCACTTTCTGTCCTTCTTAGTGTAAATGAGAAATCTTAGGATTGTTTTCATTTCTTAAACTTCCAAATTTGGCCATATTTTTTCCGCTTGGCTTATTTTGAATTCTCTTTCTTGTTTTCCATTTTCAGCTGCCCATATCTTCATCGCACTGCAGGCGACACAGAACGAAGATATCACCTGAGATATTACAAAACTTGTATGTGTGTGCATGACACAGATTCTCGTGGCTTATGTGTGAAGAATGGTCCCCACTGTGCTTTTGCTCATGGAACTCATGATATAAGACCACCTGTTTATGATATCAAAGAAATTCAGGTGAGACTGTGGGATGATCGGGGCTTCGGAATTCTTGCTGTCAGATAAATGGAATTCTTTTCTTTCAATTCTGATGTAGTTTTTAAGTACCTTGTGAGAAGGTTAGCTAGTTAAATGTGCCATACCATTATTTTATCAACTATTTTTTTTAACCCATTTTCCCCCCTTTTCTCTAATTAATGGATATAGGCGGCAGAGAATCCTGATGGAGATCCTAATTCAACATCAAATGGGCCAAATGTTTTGGACAAGGAAAGAAATCTAATGAATGAAGATCCTAAGTGGCAAGGTATAATTAGCGTTTCAACCCTAAAATGACAATACCGGGTATGGTTTGTCTTTAAATAAAAATATCCTCTTAATTTACCCATCTTCTTAAATTTTACATTCCAGATACCAATTATGTGCTTGCTAATTATAAAACTGAGCAATGCAAGCGTCCACCAAGATTATGTCGTCAAGGCTATGCATGTCCTCAATTTCACAATTCCAGAGATAAAAGGAGAAGCCCACGAAAATTTAAATACAGGTGTGCTATCTGAATGGTTTGGTAGACCATGTTCCGTAGTTGAATTTATCATTCAGTTGATACATGTTCTCTTCTTGGCCCAGGTCAACACCTTGCCCTAGTGTAAAACATGGGGATGAATGGGGAGAACCATCTAATTGTGAGAGTGGTGATGCTTGTCAGTATTGCCACACTAGAACAGAGCAGCAGTTTCATCCTGAGATTTACAAGTCAACAAAATGCAATGATGTTCAACAGGCTGGCTATTGTCCTCGTGGAGTATTTTGTGCTTTTGCACATGTCGATCGTATGTATTGTTTGCTACTGAGCATGCTTCAGCTGGTTTTGGCTTCAGAGAATGCTCATTTCCTTACCTCATGCCCTTGTGTCTATGGAATTTCCAAGATAGTCAATATCTTCAATAAATCAGTGGGCCCTTTAAGAAATAGTGAGCGAAGGGAGCGGATGTAAAGCCTACAGTTAAATTGAGGAAGGCTTTATTCTTCCCTTATCTTAAAGTTTTAAGTCAATTTGCATCAAATGCACGTATAATTAATGTAATAGTGGCACTGCTTAGAAGTACCTCACTATTTCAGTTTAACTTGCTGGAATTACCAGGTGTACCCTAGTTGGAATATATGTAAATGTTAGTTGTTTCCATCCCCGTTAAGAGAATTTATAAATGAGTCCAGGGGACACACATTCCCCAACTCCCAATGTTCCTGCTTATTCTTGCTATGTAGTAGCTGCTGTAATCAACAGGTCCTTAACTGGGTTATTTCTTGCAGAAGAAATGAGCATTGCTCGCGATATTGTCGCACCCCACGATTCAGGAACAAATCTTGCCGAGATACTATCATCAGCGTTGCCTGCTGTAGAGAATAACAAACAAAACAATAACAAGCAAGAGAAAGGAAGTGATTCATCTGCTGGCAGTGGTGAAGTGTCGGAGTCTGCATCTACAAGCAGCCTGTGCTCCAACAGCTCCCACAGTAAAGCTCCTGGGGCTCAGCTTGCTCACAATCGAATTGAAAATAATCACTTATACAATCAGCAGAGCAATGGGCCTGATATTCTTAATGGGGTAAAGTCTCTGAAATATTACTTCCAGATTATATCTTGACACTCAGGTCAAAGACATTTTAATTCAATTTTATTTAATCTCTATTTCCAGGGCTTGGTGCGAAATTCTTTGATGTCTCTTGACAATGATAGTGTGATGGAATCGGACAAAAATCAGCGCAAACAAAATTTATATATGAATTTTAATCAAAATTCCAACTCCCTAGTTAACTCACTAGGCCTTGCTATGTCACCCATGACAAATTCATATTATTCTGCCAATGATACCATAGAAAGTGTTGTGGGTGAGTAAAATTTCGGAAGAAAATTTTAAAAATTCCTCTAGCTCTAGCTTTATAATACAATTTTCCCTTATTTGCTTTATTATTCTTCTTATGATTTGTTTTTATTTTCGTGAGAGACAAAGAAATAAAGAGTTAGTTTCTATCATTTCAGGGAATGCACTAGATGATTTGAATTTAGATGATGCTCTCAATCTAGCTGCCTCTATGGATCGTGACTTTGAGACTGAATCACCAACCATTAGCAATTCAATCTCAGCCGGTTTAGCAAGCTCGGGTGAGTAAATTCATTAATTCTGAAGTTATAAAAACTCACAGTACAAAATATTTAGTAAAGCTAAATCTATTTAAGCATTTTAACTATCAATGTACATGATCATGTACTGTGATCCAGTATTAAAGTCAAATTATGTGGGCAAATTAACAGGTTTTCTTTTGTATCTTCTGCAATATAACTATCCATGGTCAAGTAGGTAACATTCTATACTATGGAATGTTAATAAAAGTTTGGGCTGAAGTATTAATGGAAGGTGAAACAGTTTTGCTTTACCTCTTCTGCTTTGTTTTCTGTTGAAACACCCTCTTCCTCTCCTTTCCATTAAGTAAAACACATTTCCAGGCTGATGTTTGCATTGACTTTATTGTTATCTATCAGTGTTTTAAAACGTTTTTCAAGTACTAAATATATAATTTTTTTGAGTTCTGCTTCAGCTAAATATGCTAGCATGAAGGTCATTACCTGCTCAATCTGCCTACTACTATTGTACAATCCCTATATTTTAGAAAAACAATAACGTGCCCTATAAGCTAAATTATTCTAGCATTTAAACTGGAGAATACATCCACCTAGTTAAAGATCCTTTTTACTGTTACAAATTTCCAGGGATATTGAGTGGCTCTGCACCTGTGAATATTCCAGGTAGCACCTTGAATGATCGTGCCAATTGCTTGGGGAACTTCTCCCCCTCTACATCGTCTCCTCTTCACCATCTTGGACAAGGTTTCTTGTCTGCTTCTCGATTTTCTCATCAGGATTCACTAGATTCTGTAAGTAAATATCCTATCTGGAGCTTGGTCATACCTCAAACACTTCCTAAATGTGACCAGTGTTAAGTACTGAATGCAATATCTGTAAACATGAGTTAAACTCAAACTTGCATACTTTTTTTCAGAACCCAGCATTTTTGAATCACCATCAACAACACCCTCTTCAGATGAGCAGCAACCAATCCAAAATGGGCAGCAATCATTTTCCTATTGGAAGCGGCAGTGGAAATGTAGGAAATATGGGAGGATTAGGCTATGAATTCAACAATCTTTCCCCCGGAGGGAGACCACATGCCAATCATATTATGAACAACTTTCCTATCAGTCCATCGATAGCAAACAATTCAGTAAGTTATGATAGTTATTATTACTTATGTGTATCATCTCTTTATTTTGCCTTTAAACAAAAACCTCACTGTCTATTTCAGTTTAACAAATTAAGAGAAGAGATGACAACAAGTAGATCTAAAATGACCAATTGGGATGATGGCATAGTTCAAGCAAGAAAAGCTTGTGAAGCTTGGCAAAGAGAAGCAGAAGAGGCCAACACTAAAGCAAATATAGCTGAAAGACAAAGAGATGAGGTAATTATGTCTTTGAACCCTAATGCCTTAATTTTGCATGAAATAACCATAATCATTACTCTTTAATTCATGTGTGTTATCTTTTCGGGTTTTACTTGTAGGCCTTATCACAAGTTAAAATTTTGCAAGGGGAATTAGAATTGCGCCAAGGTGGGCCTTTTGTCCATGCGTTACGTAGAGTTTCAGAATTGCGTACTCTCTCTTTGCCAACATTAAAAAATCTGCAAGCACAGTTAAAAACTGATCTGGAAGAGATTGAAAAGGTAATTATTTCTCAAGCAAGATTTGGGAAAGGAGATGTTTATTCAAAGGAAAATTGTGACCTTTATGCTCATTTCCTTTGACATTCAGGTTCTTTATCAACAAACTGCATCCAAGTGCATGGTGTGTGAAGAACAAGAGCGTAGTGTAACTTTGAGCCCTTGTAATCATCTTGCGTTATGTGCTATGTGTGCTCCAAAGCAAAAAGAATGTCCTTATTGCCAGATACCTATAGCACATACTACTCATTCTACGCCCACTACCACTGTAGCTATGTAGACATAGGTAATGCCATCACAAGACTTTAAATCATAAGCCCCATCATCAGATCTAGCTATTATATATCTCTTGTCTTTGGTAGCTGTTTCTTTATAAATGGACACATTATTCATTGGTCACATTTGGGAATGGGTTTGATTGTCTTAGGGCTAAGTTTTGTATGAAGCTCGTAAGTATGGCAATATATTTCTCTGAGGTGATTGGCTTAGCAGACTATGATTTTAACCGACTATATCTTTATGAAAGATTTTTAAAGTTCTTTTAGCTATTTGATTTCCCCCTCTCACAGAGAAGTAAAATAAATGCTTTTGGGAATGTGTGTTTCAAGCTTAAAACCTGCATTAGTAATCCCACTTAAGAATGTTTGTGGCTCTTTTAGCAGTGATGCCCAATTTGAGGGAATTGTATTGTAGCTAATCCTCTAGGTGTTAATTCCCTTACATTAGGCTTGGGGAGATTATGTGCTTAAACTGTAATCAGGAGCCCAAGGAACATATGTGTAAGCATATGAGCTTCTGGCAGTTTTTTTAAAATTGTCAAGATGATGACAAAGTCATTTTATCAATGGACTATATTTTGTGTAATCGATGTTCTGTTGTAACTTGTTTAAGCACATAAGGTGAGTCCATGATTCAGGGCTTCAAACTTATTTTTCAACATTGTTAAAGGAACCATTGCACATTCTTGCTAAGAATTTCCTGTAGCTATTAGGAAGCATCTTGCCCATGATTCTTGTTAAGGACATGTCTACTTAAAGGGAGTCCTCCCCAAGGCAATTTTAAAGCTTGAAGCAGCTTTTTATTCTTACGTGGGCAAGTCTTTCTAGATTTTCATCATTATTAATATTGTTTAAAGCTGCATAAAACTTCCTTATTATCTAGAGGTTCCCTGTTAAAAATGTGTTGATTTAAATCACTACTTTTGTTCTCATGCACACAAAAACCATGCGAGTTACTGTAGGACAGCCTGTGCTTTTGAGGTTGTAGGATTCATACTTGCAAAGGTCAATATTTTAAACAAATTTCTAGATGGCTTTAATTTTATTTATTTTCACACGAAGTGGGCCAATCAAATCATCCTTATATAGTTTACAGTTCACATCAAAATTGATGCAAGCTGCAAACCAAATCAATTGAACTAGTCTGGTTGCAAATGAAATTTATTACTTGGTGAGAAGTTGCTTGTACATCAATATGAATTTTAAGAGACTTGAATTTTCAGATTTTGTTGATGAATTTATTTTTCAGATTGTTTTCCTTAATCCTTCCTTAAAGTTTAGTTTGTTGTGTTGTTGTTATGTTTGTTTTTAATTGGTCTTTTCCATGAAAGCACAATCTTACTGAAATTTCAATGAATTACTTTCAGTTAATTATGAAATCAATTTTGTCTGAATTTTTGGTTTAGGGATGCATTTTGTCCCTGCCATTTTGAACAGTTGAGCATGTTATCACCCTGTATACTTTGATTTGAAAGTGAGGCTAATATTATTATCTTTTTGAATGCTTGTTTCTCAGAGCAAGAGGTCTAAGGTCCGTTTTAGCACAGATGTTCAGTTGTAAATCTAGATGTCTTTGTAGTGTGCTGAGCACTTTTAATCCAAAGAAGCTTATTATTTAGTTTCTGGTTGACTTTGGTTTTTACCAACATTGCCCCTTTGTTTATGCTCTTTCAAATTTACTTCTTAACACATTTCTCAGTCAATAGCAATTTAGCTATCTTGACCTTTAGGGTAGTTTATCTTAATTTACTTTCGTAACTGCAAGAATCTGTAGAAAACACCACACTAGAATTACTTGATCTGGTAGTGCAGATGTTTATTTTTATTGAATCTGATTATGGCATAGATCAAAGTATTATTAAAGAGAAACCTTTTGCTAAGTGGAAATCATTGTTTTAGACGTGTATTAATTAATGTATGGCTACAGATGAGTCTTACTTTCTCAAGCAATATCATAGGATTAATATTTATATTTGGACAGTGTCAGTATGTTGTAAAATTATTGCAGTGTGACAAGTGTTTCGTAGTACGTAAAATGTATGCTTTTACTCAGTTTACATGCCACCTATGAAAGGAACTGAAGCTCGTTTCTTACTTAAACTATTCTGGAAAGTTGATAGCTTATATTGATACTGTTATGATACTGTTGCCATGTTTTAAGACAAAGAAGCTTTTTGTATTTTGGAATTTTAATGCTATAGATGTGTGGCAAAGACTCCCTGAGCAAAATACTGTAATACAATAAATTATTGTATTTATTGAGGGCAATGGATCAGAAAGACTGTTTATGACGTAAGTTTCAGAAGTACTTGATTTGACTTAGCTGGCAATAATTTTCATGTGATTGTTCGTCATTGTCACATTCATCTTATCTGAAACATGGGCATAAAAGTACTGATTGGATCCTATCACATGAATTTAACAGAAATCAATCTTTTTCAAATTTTGTTGCATTTTAAGAAACAGCTCACACCATTGCAGTTACTTCAGTTTTCTGTAACTGCTTTGAGGTGAGTCAAAACAGTTTTGTTTTGCCCCTCTTTTGATAGGCATTTCTTTTCTGTGAGAGCTGCGGACCTCTTTTTATATTGTCAGCATGTCTTGACCTTGTAAGACTCAAATGCCAATGTGACACACTGCTATGTTCAGGAAATTTAGTCTTTAGATAGCCTTGATAATTCTATATTTACTTCATTCAATTGTCATCAGTAAGATTGAACTTTTTGTCAATGTTTCTCCATTGAATTTAGCTCAAACATCAGTTAGGGAGCACTAATTATGTAATAATTTCATGGTTTTACCACCCAACTTTATTTATGATAACTCTGTCCTTTCATACCATGCTATTACTAGAATTCTCTTTTTAATTTCTACTCTGTTATTAGTTTAAAGGAATGCTATTTTCCTTGTTATACGTATGCACATATGAACTTGCCATGTTGATGTTGATTTTCGTTATGAAATGTTGCTTTTCTTACATGCTGTAATATCAATATCCTCCCAGAATTGTGACCCACATCCACCCTGATGAAAGTTAATTCATTTTAAATATGTTGCTGTGCCCATATTTTCACTGCCACTTGCTTTTACCCATGTTTTCAATTGGTATTAGTTTTTTAAACAATAATTGTATGCTAAAAAAATAAGATGCTTGTTATTATCTTCAGTTGTTCTTTCTTTTTGATGAATGGAGATATAACATCTTTAATTTTGGCAATTTTTATCGCAATCAACACATTTTTTCATCAATTTTATATAACTTGTGAAATATGTCAGCCTACTAGTATTCTGGATTGTTTGAGATCATAACGTTACTGAATGTTTGTGGCACTGAAAATCCTGGTGAATAAGATATGATGCTGTAAAACTTGAATGAACTACTGTTATGCTGTTTTTAAACTCGTAAATTCATCATAAAAAATAGTAATATATTCATTTTGCCGACGATTCATCAGGGCTTTTAGTTGTACAGTAACTGCTTTGTGACCTGTAAGTTCCTTCATGGAATTATTTTGTTCTGTCAAAGGCTCTTGATGAAAGTTTCACTCCTGCTGTTTCTGTCCCCTTTTACCATTTACTTTGTGTTCTATTTTGTATTCATTGCAATCCTGAATTATTTTTTTCTATCTGTAACCTTGCGAAAAAGCAGGTTGAATCCTACTTGTTTTTGTTGGTACAATATCACTGCAGATCCATAAAAGACAGGCTTTCCATATTTGTAGCTTTGCTCTAAAAGCTCCATCCTCGCTTTGCTCTGTCATTCTGTTATTGAGTTAGTAGAGCCTTTTTCCTAATCTGGAAAAAGTTGTGTAGGGGTGTGCAAACTTTCTCAGTTTCCTTGACAAATAATACAGTTGCTTCCATAGTCTTTCCTTTTGTGTGCCCGTGCCCAAGATTTTTTTCTTTTACCTGTGATGAAGGCATTTGCTGTTGTTTTTTTTAGTTAGCTTTTTGTTCAAAACACTAGCTTCACTGAACCTGTGCTTGTCTTTACCTATCTCGTGTGACTGATTGCCAAATCTTAGCATTTTTGTTCTCTCATTTGCTGTGATTGCTGTCAATGTGCTAATTCTGTGGCTAATGTAATGCTGGTCACTTGTATTAATTCGTGGAAGGGTTCAATTTCAGTGTGACCGGAACTGTACCATCAAATACCAAAGTTAATTATCTTTTCTACGAAAATATGCCCATTGAAGTAATTATAGCTTAAGGCTTGCTTGACGTGACTTATAAGATGGCGAGTGTACAGTTATCACAATTATAAACAGGGACTAAATTTTTAGCTCATGTACATATGTCCTCTCCGACAGTTAAGGTGCAGTCATGCATTTGTAAACTGCTTTTATTCAGCAAATCTTTTTTGATTATTTTGAATAGTTTCATAGTTTTTACCTCCCTTCGTGTAACCCATTTGAATGATTAAGTGATCAGACATTTCAATTCAAACCTCTCAGTTCCTTGTGAAAGTTTTTTAAAAGCCAATTTTTTTTTAGTTTATTTTCTTTATAATTTGGTGATCTTGGATTTTGCACATCTCTACCTTCTCAAGTCTCTACATAGGCTTCTAATTTCTGGGCTATTCTCATTCATTGTCTCACTTCTAGTGATTTTAAAATTTCAATTTAGCTTTAAACTTTGAATGGAAGTAACTAACCAACTGTAAGTGTGGTGTTTACTTGGAAAAATGGCTAGGCCTATATACTTTTAGCTTTGAGAGTGTCCTTGTTCTAATTTTACAATGGTATTTAGGCAGTTAATGAATTGCTGATTCTGCAAGCTTTGCTCTTGGACATATTATTATTTTAACTTCTCTGAGCCAAGACTGCTGCCTTGATCCACTTCTAATGAGAAAAATCTTTCCTAGATCTGACCATTGTGTCATTTTGTATGAAATTTCTGTTCAACAGATTTGTATTATGTTTTATTGATCATTATTTGTTTGATTTGCTATCTTTTTTTTTTATTTTGAGGAACAAAGGAAATAATTTAAATTTAGTGGCTGTGGTCCTGCTATATAACTACATTCCTGAGCTGAAACTTCTATTTATGAACTTAAACATACATAAAATATTTAAAATCAGAGCAGGAACATGGTGCCATTTGATTTTCAGAATTTATCTTTTGTGTGTGTGTGCAAATCAATGAATTTCATAAATCTCATTTCATATTAGTGGCACTTTTTGAGCAGTCACTTGTATTTCCAGTAGCGGAGCTTTGGCAAAAATGCATGTACTTGCAAGTAACATGACTTTCCTGCAAGGGGGAACAGAAAATGATATTGCTTGTGATTCTCTATATGATTTACAGCCTCTTACTATTCAAGAGTTCCATGAGTTGTCTTTGATAAGGCCGTAGGTTGATGTAATCTATTTTTCCATATGTGTGACATTTTCAAATGTAATGATGAAACGCGACAAAGCCTTGTTATTAGGAACAAATTCCATAATTTATAATTATTGCTTTGAAAATTTTCTGTGTTTTCTTTGCTTTGCACAAGCAGGAATGAAGAGAATATCTTTAACATTAAATGTATGATTATATATTTTTAATTTAGTTGTACCTTTGTTTGGATTAAACCCGAACAGACTTGACAGCAGATTCTGCTTTGTTTTTTATTTCACATCTTTTGCCCTTCATATCCCACACTAATCGGTTACAATTTTTGAATGAATAATTTACCTCTAAATAATTTCTCAAGTTTTCTTTTCATTATGTATAGCATAAAAAGTGTCAAACCACAAAGGCTTACACCTCTACTTTATTAAAGAGCAAGCTATTAGTCACACAATTGAAGCAAAACATTCATTGTGAATTATTAATTTTCTCAGAAGCAGGTTGACACGTTCCTTGCGGCTTATTTTAGGTGCGTATGATTCAACAAACATGAGAGCGTGACCACATAGTGGTCAAGCCGCAAGGAACGTGTTTGCCCATGTCCGTACTTTCACTGTTTTCCCACGGCAATTTTGGTAAACAATTCCACCCCCTTCCAACATAAAAGAGAAAGAAAATACTGCAATTGTCCTTTAGACAACCACACCTAAGCTAATCTATCACATCCCGATTCACAGTACGAAATCTATGCATAAGGCAACATCGTCAATATAGACTTCGTCGTCAAAATCCTGCTCGTTAAGCTTAGTCGAGACCGGGTCATCGCGCTGCGCGAACTTTTAGCCGCATGCGTCGCATCAGTCGCGTTGGTCGCGTCTCCATCAGCGCTGAGTATTTGTCGCCAGAATGGTACGTCTGCCCATCCGAATCCGAGTAGTATACCATTCTTCCGTCATCAGACTCAACCGCAGGGTCTTACTTAAGTGTCCACCCACAGTCGCCCTCCTATCGCCCATGGCCCGCCGCGCCGCTGCGCGAGAGCGAGAGAGCGGCAAGGGGCGGATCCAGGCAACCAAGGTTTAGGTCCGATGGGGGAAAAGGGGGGGGGGTACCTAATGTGCCTGGATCCCGTTTCTCAGGGGGAAGGCGTGTGTTATGCCTACTCGGAAAATGGAAAACCTTTCATACATTTTGACATGCCACGAAGTGCTGACCACCGAATGGAATTCCCACAAGAATTTAAACTTTCCTTGGACAATGAGACTGTTGGAAACCCCTCAAATAATGTTAACATGTCTATATTTTAAATGGTAAAGCTCAACCATCCCCAATGCCTCCAAGTTTATATGGGTATATCCGTGAACGTGTAACAAAGGGGCAGGGAAATAAATTGGCCATCCAATATTTCCGAAGCCATAGCGCGTAACTATATCAATTTAGAAGGTCCACCCTACATCTTTTCTCACGAATTTATAAAAATTCAGAGAGAGAGAGTTGGATCAGCTGATGTATTCCGAAAGGAGGAACTCCAAATGCTAGAATCGACCAATGGGAGCGAGTCTTATTTCAACCAATGACGACACGACCAGGACTCCCTCTGACCAATGAGGAGGCGGCTTATTTTGACCAATCAGGGGAGGGCTGCCTGGAAGTGACGCTGTGCAGCTTGGATCTTGGAGAAACAGGCAAACGTCGGTACGCTCCGTGTTCAATTGCATTTCATCGTTCAAGCGAGTTTCAGGTAGGAAACGGTGTTATTAGTGTGCTCTATGAGCCCCGTTCTATACTTTAAGTGATAAAATTGACGGATGAGTGCAAGATTAACTTATAAAGTCGAAGTTATCTCGTGCGCCTCATGGTGTAGCCCGTGCTATTCATCATCTGTGTCTACAAGGGTCATTCGACCCTGATATTTTGTTTTGAATGTCGGTGTTCTAGTAGAAACTAACGAACCTGATCAGTTATTGAACGGTATTTTCCTTTGTTCTCCAATGTCTAGTTTACTTTCACCGCCGGTTTCGTGATTCCTTTAGTTTGACATCTCCCATTCAGTCTGTTGTTGTTTCACGGAGGGGGGAGTGGAGGTTGTCATAACATTGCGGCTCATATCAAGTTTTCAGCTAGTGGTGCAATAAACTATGCCGGTGGAATGGGATTATTCTTTGGGAATGAACATGAACGTTATTTCTGATACATCCGTTTGCAACACTATTACGTTTCGGTTACCTTACTCCCGCCAAAAGAATCCGTTCACTACAATGATGATTCCGCCATCTTGGTTTTATACTAGTGCATTGTACATTGTACATCAGTGAACCGCTCCGCGAGTAGGAAATTTTTCTTTACATTTCCGAGCTAATCGATTTTCAAAGATCTTTTTGATTTTGTTCTAAATCGTGCACTCTAAACCTCAGTGTGGGTTGCCCAGCGTTTAAATCTGCCTTAACTCTTTTACAGGCTGAAACATGGCTCGTACCAAGCAGACTGCACGTAAATCTACGGGAGGAAAGGCCCCCCGAAAGCAGCTGGCCACCAAAGCTGCACGTAAAAGTGCCCCATCTACAGGAGGAGTGAAGAAGCCTCATCGTTACAGGTACAATTTAGCTGTTGATGTAATCTACTTTCTAAAAGCACTTGTCACGCTGTTCATGGCATGCTTCCCAATTTATGCCTCACTTCAAATGACTGCTGCACTTGTTCTCGTATGTGACTTACCTTAATGTTCTGTGTTTTAGGCCTGGTACTGTTGCCCTCCGAGAAATCAGGCGTTACCAGAAGTCTACTGAGTTGCTGATCCGCAAGTTGCCCTTCCAGCGACTTGTTCGTGAAATCGCTCAGGATTTCAAGACAGATCTGCGTTTCCAGAGTGCTGCCATTGGGGCTCTTCAGGTTTGTTTTTTTCTGGGCATTTTGCTGTGTAAACACTTCCATTCTTTTCTTAAATTCTGTTTTTCACACCATTGTAGGAAGCCAGTGAGGCCTACTTGGTTGGTCTCTTTGAAGATACTAACTTGTGCGCCATTCACGCCAAGCGTGTAACCATCATGCCGAAGGATATCCAGTTGGCCCGGCGAATCCGTGGAGAACGTGCTTAAGTTACAGGCAGCTTTTCTTTTTAAAATTTTTTGTTTTTATATCACTATGTGGGATGAATGTCGACAATGATGACGACTCCCGAGGACTTGTGTCTTCTTATAGTTCAATCGGACATCTACTTTCACTGCCAGGGAGTTTTGGAGATGATTGTCGAGGATATATGATGTTTGGTTTTTAAGACTGGATTCAATTCTTTATTCAGTGTGTGTGTTTGTAGTGTTCTAAGTGCTTTATATGCCCTTTGAAACTGAGGCCAATTGTTCCAAGCCCATTAACTTTTCAATTTTGACGCGTTAAATTCAATACCAGTAAATCAAATTCAATTCTAACAATGTTACAGGCCCAAATTTGAATCAAAATTTGTGTTGTATGCCATTACATACATGCACATGTCATTTGCTCTAGATTTCTGCACCTGATTCTTAACTTCCTGAAAGGCATGCATGATCTGTAGTTCTTTTAGTTGGCTTATCTCGGGTCTCAAAACATTTGCATTAATATACCTCAATATAAACATTTTGTAATTCTGTTCTACATTTTGTATAGAAATGTTAGTGGTGCATTGTGTTGCGCTCATGTAACACTTTTTATTTAATTAAACTTAGGTTACCTTATTCCAAATGTTCTTTTTTTAATTTACCTCTCCATAAGTGTCCCTCCCCCCTTCCCCTTTTTTGACAAGTTCCCCTAGATTCCATTGGTGGAGGCTCTCCTTAGTGACCCTGTCTGTCCATATTAAGTATCACATTCGAGTGGTGTCAGTATTATGTATGTATGTATGACTGGGGTTATGCTATAATAAAGGAGACTAGCCCAAAACTGAAATGTCATTGACCTTTTCTCCTGTTCTGTCCTGGTGACACAGGATTTTAACCAACAATTCATTCCACAAATAAGAGCACAAAGTATTTTGCATATAAAATAGTTTATTTACCGTGTAAACTTCGAATTACTTTTTCTTCTTCATAACTTTCATAAAAACTACCATATCTGAAAGTAAATATTAAAGTTTCAATTTTCATGAAAATTTACAAATTTTTAATAAGAAAATGGGTTATACTTACTAACAAATATAATGACCACCACAGCTATCATCACCCACATCCAGCACCTCCATGCCCGTTTTGTATGTTCTTCTAACCGTGCAGATTCCAATTTTAATCGTTCAAAATTTGCATCAGTTAAGGACCCAGACTGTTCCACAACCTATGATAAAGATCTTGAGTTAAGACAAGCACTTAGGCTACATCCAAAAGGACTCGATATTTCTGAGAGCACTATCACCTCTGTATCTCTCTTAATAATTGTGCTGGCAAGATGAGATTGTTCTTTGAGATTACGTGCAAGCGATAACATGTCCTCGGCTATCTTCTCTTGTACGGCATGGTGGTGGCGTAACAGAGCATCCAAATCTTCTCCAGATGAAGGTTTACTTGATTTACGTTGCCTTAGTGATTTGGATCCATCTGCAACAAGGTGGGGGTGGGAGGGGGTTTGTTAGAAATATCCTTTTCAGTAATACAAGGAGAAACCCTCAGGAGCCTAAAAAATGCTAGAACCTGATCCAGAAGACAGCAGTTCATCACGTAATTCTTCTGCATATTTAGATGTAGTCTTCTGATGAATTTCTTTTGTAATGACATCAGAGGAAGGAGGCTCAGGTTGCAATAATTGAGCTGCGACAACTTTTTCTTCGGGAGTTGACTGTGGAGGCAATGATACATTTGAAGCAGTGTGATACAAAATATAAGGATGTATCTTTAATGCTTACCAAGTTTTGAGTATGAATGAGACCTTTCAAAAAGTCAACTCTTCGTCCATATTCGCTTAGTGTTTCCTTTGCAGGTTTACTGAAATATATGAGTTTAATGAAAATTGATAGTATGACAAAAAACAAACACTAAATAGAACACAAACAAAAAGGCAACTTTCACAACAGAAATAAGTGTCATCATACCTGGGCATGCGTTGAAGATTCCGTAACATTTCATCCAGTGTCCCTATGTACTGCAAGCAGGCAAAGAAAATGAAAAAATAACATTAAAGTGTTAGAAAGAATGAAAGAGGTCGTCTATTCACGTCACATAATAATAGTAAAATATTAGTATGTGCTGACAAGGAACGTAGGGTTTGACAGCGCTGCTACAGAATATCGGTGACATGTACCTACCTTGTCGAGTCTCCAATCTGTCTGTATATCTTCTTTGGCCCTCAGTTCACACTGTACGAGAAGCCTTCGTAAATTTACTTCTAATCTGGACGGTGCCATTTCAGTGATAACTACAGCTCAAATATGATGTAAAAGTTAATGGTTTTGATCAATAAAATAAAGAGGATACTTTAACCTGAAAAAGTATGTTTGCGTGGTGTTGTGACGATGTTTTTGTTTATGTTATTGTTATTGTTTACCCTGTCTGCTATAAGTTCTACCAACCACAACTATTGCATTATATTTTGATCAGATTTTGAAAATAGTCTTGAACAATATACTCCTGTAATTTGACTTATAAATATTGTATTGAATTTAGTTTTTAAAGCATGATTTAATTTTTGAGTCAGAAAGTATACTTCTATTTTTATTAGTCAGCTTTTCAGTGTTGGTTGCCTTGGCATTCCGTAGCGTCTGCTACTAGTTTGGGTTTTGGCTTTGTCAGCAACGTTACTTTTCTCGTTTCTTAACTGGTGACAGAGTAATTCTTATCTTTTGCAAAACATTGAGAACCCGAAATTCATTTGACTTTCGACTTTTAACCACGGGATTGTTTTGATTTGATTCAAGGTAATGTTATGCTTGCCGTGAATCCGTTCTTAAAGGTTAAGTAGCTGTGGATATCTGCTCTGCACGGCTATAACTGCAGTATCTACCAAAGGTTATATTTGCCAACAATGTCATTTTTAATTTTAGGTTCCCTATAATGGTGTGTGTACCATGCTTTGTCATCCCAGCTCTTCTATTCATTTTCCGAATGGTGATCCAACCACTGGTGTATCGGATTTGGGGTCGACGAATGCAAGAACCAGCTCTTTCTTGTCCTATGCCGCTGAAGAAGAAAAATTTAAATACGGCTGATAATGATAGTAGTTGTCCTATGAATTCCACTAAAGAAATAGATGAAAGTGTTGGAGAAGAAAATAAAAAGCAAAACTGAATTTTTTTTAAATATTTTTTTTGGGCAGTGTCTTTATTAGATTTATAAGCCTGATTCTTTTAATCTCAAATATCTTGGATTTACAGTATAAAAAATTGTGTCTGTATTTTTGTTTATTATTATCATTATTTACAAATGCTCGTTTTGTTACCTTCCATCATTCCACAATATTTTTAATGATTCATTAATTGATACCGATATCTTTTGTCTGCATTGAATGTTTCTACTGCTATACCCATCGGAGTGAGCAGGAGTTGTATTCCAACCTTTGTGGAGTCTTCCCTCCTGCATATCCGTCCGCCTTGAACTGCGCGCGTGTGTGTGTGTGTGTGTGCCCAGTCAATGTGATTGATTCACCTTCATGTTGTTGTTTCTCAATTACTGTTAGTGTAAGTGGTGTTCATATTTTGGTAGGGGCAATAAATAAAGAAAAGCATTGACTGTCTTGTCGCTAGCACTACCCTCTACCTCCGCACGACAGCCTTGCGACTGCCCGGTCGGCGGCCGGTCGTGCCGAGTCCCGTTACAGCAAACACCGACCCCGCGGCCGGCTGCTCCCTGAGCTGCTCCGGCGACAGGCCCTTGTTCATGGTTGTGACGTACAAGGTGGACAGGTCGCGGCCCCCGAACACCACCGAGGTGACGCGTGACGCCGGGATGGGGACCTGCTGCAGGAGCCGCCCGGCCACCGGGTCCACCTTGATCACCTGTCGAAGCGAGGAGAGCGGCTGTTAACCGGCGGCTCTGACCAGTCTAAAACAGCACGTAGGCAATCACGACTCCTTTTACCTGACCGCCGTCGAAGCAGGCCACCCACAGGTTGCCGTCTGCGTCCATGGTCATTCCGTCTGGGTGACCGGTGATGTTGTTGGCTCTCAGGTCGAAGGCGGGACGGCCGTTGGCTGCCCACCGGGAAAACTCTCGTCAGCTCAGCTCACCAAGAGAGCGCCCGGCTGGATAGGCAACGGAGTGCGGCGAGCGCAGCCCTGCGCACGCGGTGCCTACCCACCAGGCGCTCCACGTCAACCTTCCACAAAATGCGCCATGCGCTTGCCCCCCCCCCCCGCGCCCGTTCCGTGTTGCCTCACAAGCGAGGAAGCACTCACCAATCGTCCCCTTGTCCGGGTCGAAATCGAACACATCGATGCGTCCACTGGGCGTGTCGATGTAGTACATGAGCGTCTCGATGTCGTTCCAGGCCAGGCCGTTGGAGATGTCGACCGGGGACAGCACCTTCTCCACCTCCAGGTGTTCGCTGCCGCGCACCGACGAGTTGGCGGCTTGGAAGCGGTACAACGACCCGCGGCCCAGCGTCACCTGGCCCACGACCGGCTCCGGACCCATTGTACCTGCACCAAGAGGACGTCAGGCCATAGTCAGACAGCGCGCCCACTGTACATACACCGTACCGTCCACCCCACATACATACCGATCCAGAGCCTGCCGGCGCGGTCCGCCTTGCCGTCGTTGAACCTGTTGTCGGGCTTGTCGCGGTCCACGGACGCCAGCAGGGTGACGGTCTGGTTGACGTGCGGCTCGACGCCCTGGGCGCCCCAGTCCACCGTGACGAGCACCAGGTCCGTGCCCACGCCCACCACCAGCTGGTCCAGGGTCCCGAGCACCGGCACCACGGGGCTCACGGGCCCGTCTGCAAGCACACGCGGAGACACTCTGGTCATTCCCCTCGGGCCGCACCCCAGGCCAGCCGTCGCTTTGTGGTCGCGGAGGCAGCCGCGGGTGCGCGGCGTAAGCAAGAGCTGCGGGCGGGACCGGCGTACGGCGTGCCCCGTTATTTTATTTTTTTTTATTTTCCGAAATAAAGACGGGCGATAAAGTGAGAGGGAGAGAGAGAGAGAGAGAGAGGCAGGCCGAGGACTACAGTCGGTCGGGGATCAAGTCTTATTGTCCCGTTTCCGGTCCAGTTGGTGTGGCGCCGCGTCGCTGAGGCGCAGGGCGCAGCTGAGTTCCGCGGGGCACCTCACTCCCCGCCGCCAGCCCTTTCACCTTTCACCCCAAATTAGCTACCGTGTCCGTACCAAACTGATCTGCTCCGTCTCGGGATGAAAAAAAAGAGAATCCGCACCAACGTTGGATTCTTTCAGGGTGGGCTGGGGGGAAAAAACATTAGCTCACCAAAGCGCACTGCCTTTAGGTCCTTGGTGGCCGGGTCGTAGCGGTGCAGCATCTGGCCGCTGATGTCCACGTAGTACAGCATGTTCTGCCCACAGTCCCAGTGTGGGCCCTCGCCATGCTGCGAGGGCGGCGTCACCTGCTGGATCTGCGGCTGCGCCTGAGCGAGCGCCATCTGCACGCAGCTGCAACAAGATCATATAAGCGAGTGTCACAGTCACACTTTACCGCGCCTCTACACCTCCGGGTCCTGCTTGGCTCCAGCGGCGGTGAGTACCCACGACGCCCCGCCCCCCGCTGGTCTCGCGCTTATGCGCGTGGCGTCAGGTGGCTCTCGGCCTTGACGCCTAAAGCACTAACGTCCGCTTTGTCGTCTTTTCCGCAGGCATCGAGCAGTCGTGGTTGGTCGTGTTTTCTCTCGTGCTTTTAGAGAGCCGAGGTCCAGGTCGGCGATCACGCGGATCGAATCTGGGCATGGAGTAAGCCCCCCCTCCCTCCCTTTTGCACCTGCGTCATGCATGCATTGGGACAGGTCGGCCTGGAGCGGGGGCGCCGCGCCGTGTCGTGCGCGGGGTGAATCTTATCGGAGCAGTGAAGTGGTTTTCCAACTTTCGGCTGGGAACCTTGTTATCACACGTATTCCGCGAGTAGTGGGAGTCCAGCAAGCAACGTCCCGGTCATTCGCCGTATAACGAACCTGCTGCCATGTTCAGGCTCCGAGAGCTCTCATAGCGCCCACTAGGTAGGCAACATCTGTCCTGCGATGCATGCGTGTGCTGCGGGTCGGCCTACCTTGCGTCTCGCAGGCGCCGAGCTCCCGTCATTTGACGAAAGAATCTGCGTAAAAAACGGGCGTTCTTCCGGGACGACCCCTAACCGACCGAAGCATGTGGGGGAAAGGGCGTACGAATAACCGGTGGCGCGACGTGTCGCCATAGGAGGAGACAACTGGAGGCTCGTATTCATACACACAATTTAGGACGCCGTTTCAAAAAAAATAATTTTGTCGAATCGTGTGAGCAGGTTCAGTGAACCACTGACATAAACAAAACTGTTCATGTGAGTTGAGGCTGCTTTTTACCGACTAATAGAAAACTGCATTGGTCTGTCTCCTGGTGTCACCAACCTGCATAGTGCGACTGCGGAGATGGCGCGGGCGACCCCATCGGCTGCACGTGCGAGTGCCCTCGTCATGGTACCTGCTGTCCGACCCTGGCCTGTCCACTGGTTCTGCGGCGCCGCGCGGTCTCGCTGGCCGTCCCGTCTGCACTACCGTGAAGTCTCTGTGGAACCAACTACCCACGGTGTCACGGCGGGGAGCGAACGCCGACTGGTGGGGGGTCGACCACCGCCTCCAGGGGCTCCACCAGACTTCTCCAGGCAGGTAGGCGGTTTCCATCCACACTCCATACACATCCTTAGCCCGTGGCTTTCCCTTTACTTCTCAGTTCTTACGGGTTCTCCTCAAGTCCCTCGTTCCCTTTGCTGCTGTGAAACAGTCCTTATTTACTACGTGTACTGTTACGATGTTTTACAGAAGACAGTTCGGTGAAGTAACTGCAGCGAACTACACTACTGTAGTCCATTTTCCCGGCTTTCACATGGTGGATGTCTGAGGTACCCATTATCTCCCCCCTCCATCAACATCAGTTTTTGGCGGTTTTCGGGGACTTCCTCGCCCCTTCTTCGCCGCCGGGCCGGATGGCCCCAGATATGTTTGTCGTCAATACTCAAAGGTCACAAATATTCTATTCAACGAATCAGTACCTAAATGGTTAACAAAAGTTTGACGTCAATACGTAACATAAGTTTACACTACGCTTTTGTGCGCACGCAGTGATCTCAGCGCTCCCTTTCAAATACCCCGCCGTTTCCCTGGGCGACTTCGGAGTTATTCATACTTTTCTCGGCGGTCATAGTCTTCTGATTCTCGAGTGATTTTTCTGATGAGCTCCACCGGGTAACAAGAAACTGGCTACAGAGCGTGAGAGACCAACAGGTAAAGCATTTACAAAGTACTCTGCCGGCGAGCAGTTTGAAAGGTGGCAGCCTGGGCGGCTCGAGTGGAAGCGGAAACGCGTAGCCAGTCGGAGTGAAACGTCAGCCAACACAGCGGTCACGTGACCCCAGCTTTGAATACGTGTAAAGAAAATCTTGCCGATGGTCGGCTGCCACAGTGTACGTCGAGCTCTTGTGTAGTTGAACGTAAGACAGGCAGGAGGGCCGAAGAGTACCTACGGAGCTCTCGGTTTTAGCCTGCAAACATGGGCAGTGAGTATATTGCAGTTTAAATTGTAGTTTTAGTGCTAGTAAATGGATATTTCCTAAGTTTTTGACATCTTAGGTTATGAAAGTGTCTGTGTAACTAACGGTCCCTCTGACGCCGGATCAGTATTTCATTGTAAATATTTGAAAATAGACTCTTACCATTGACACGTTTACATTTTACTAAATGGCTCCACTATTATTTTGTACTCTTCTTTCCCGGCTGTGGGTGTTGAGCCTCTTTTCTGTACGTCCCGTTAGGTACTTAAATTGTGTTTTTCTTGTTTGTTTCAGTTAAATTTTTAGAGGTGATCAAGCCTTTCTGCAGTATTCTGCCAGAAATAGCTAAACCAGAAAGAAAGGTGAGTTTATCAGTAATTTTGTACCATATTGTTTCTTACCCAGCCCCTTCTCTCTGTTGCCTTCCCCATCTTGCATATGTGGCACCTTATGGTGTCCAATCTTTCTCCAGCATATTTCTATTATCATCCCTCTCATGCATAACACTACTGTATAAAAGTTTGTTCAAGTTCTATATTTCCCTTTATATCTGCATTTTGAAGTTTCTGGTTTCACTTAGTTTGACACTTGTATGGACTTGTTGGTCTAACCTACTTTTCTGTATCGTATTCCTGAATGACCCAAGTCATCTTTTTCTCCATTCATCAATTTTAATTGTAAGAGATTCTCTGAAGGCTTGAAGATAAATTGTCTAAATAATATTCTGTATTCATGAAATTTTCTGTTATTGTTGTCAAACATATGGTTCCTATGACTGCCAGCTCAACTCCTGCATTATTTCTATTTACAGATCCAATTTAGAGAAAAAGTACTATGGACCGCTATAACTTTATTCATCTTCCTGGTATGCTGCCAAGTAAGTAAACTTTTCCATTCACAGTAATCATTGATTTTAGATTTTTTCACTAAATGTGTTGGTCACTGATAAATTGTTTTAAACATTATATATTTTTTGTACTAATGTCTCCTTACGCTCTAAACAGATTCCTTTATTTGGCATTATGAGCTCGGATTCAGCAGATCCCTTCTATTGGATTCGAGTTATTCTGGCTTCAAATCGTGGTACTCTGATGGAACTGGGTATCTCCCCAATTGTTACATCGGGCCTCATCATGCAACTCTTGGCTGGTGCAAAGATTATTGAAGTTGGTGACACACCAAAAGACCGAGCTCTCTTCAATGGTGCCCAGAAATGTATGTATCCAACTTGTGATAATTTTGCTTTGTCTTTTTTTTCCATATACTTACTTATATTCTATGTTTTCAGTGTTTGGTATGGTCATCACTGTTGGTCAAGCCATTGTATATGTCATGACTGGCATGTATGGTGATCCTGCTGATATTGGTGCCGGAGTGTGCCTGCTCATCATTATCCAACTCTTTGTTGCTGGTCTCATCGTGTTGCTCCTGGACGAGCTTCTGCAGAAGGGTTATGGTTTAGGCTCTGGTATCTCCCTCTTCATTGCCACCAACATTTGTGAAACGATTGTCTGGAAGGCATTCAGCCCTGCTACCATGAACACTGGTAAGTAAATTGGTTCAAGTTTTCTGAGTACTATTTCACTTTAATTCTTACTAGTCTAAACAAAACTTTCTTTTTTAGGAAGAGGCACTGAATTTGAAGGTGCTGTTATTGCTCTGTTCCATCTGCTTGCCACTCGTCAGGACAAAGTCAGGGCTCTGCGTGAAGCTTTCTACCGCCAGAATCTTCCCAACCTTATGAATCTGATGGCCACCATCCTTGTCTTTGCTGTTGTCATATACTTCCAGGTACTAACTTTGTTCTTACTAATTACCATATCAATTCTCAATTACATAAACTAGTTAAGGAAATAATAATTAATATTACACTTAAACTATTTGTTTTACATAGGGCTTCCGTGTGGACCTTCCTATCAAGTCAGCTCGGTACCGTGGTCAGTACAGTAGCTATCCTATCAAGCTGTTCTACACCTCTAACATTCCTATCATCCTGCAGTCAGCACTTGTATCCAACCTTTACGTCATCTCTCAGGTACTTTCAACAATTTTTGTTATGAAATTAAAATAATATTCTCAAACTAGCAGTACTTTTCATATTTATCCGTGGATTGTTTTAGATGTTGGCTGTCAAGTTCCATGGCAACTTCCTCGTGAACCTGCTCGGAGTGTGGGCTGATGTTGGTGGTGGCGGCCCTGCCCGTGCTTACCCTGTTGGTGGTCTTTGTTACTACTTGTCTCCACCTGAAAACCTTGGACACATTTTGGAAGACCCCGTCCATGCCGTTCTCTACATTATCTTTATGCTGGGCTCATGTGCATTCTTCTCCAAGACATGGATTGAAGTGTCAGGGTCTTCAGCTAAGGATGTAAGTTCAGAAAAATTTATTTGACTGACTTTGTTTCAAAATACCTAAGACACTGTGCTTACTAATTCTTTAATTTTACTTTTCAGGTTGCCAAGCAACTGAAAGACCAGCAGATGGTCATGGGTGGTCACCGTGATCATTCCCTGATCCACGAGCTCAACCGTTACATCCCAACTGCAGCTGCATTTGGTGGTCTCTGCATTGGAGCTCTTTCAGTGTTGGCTGACTTCATGGGAGCCATTGGCTCAGGAACTGGTATTCTTCTAGCAGTTACTATCATCTACCAGTACTTTGAAATCTTTGTTAAAGAACAGAGTGAAATGGGAGGAATGAGCACATTGCTGTTTTAGGTAGCGTGTTCTTAAATTATCACCATGTGAGATTTATTCTCTTGTGATTGATGATGACTGAGTGAAATTTAAGTGGGTGTTGGATTACTTGGTCAGCCACTGAGTGCTCTGGCAGCTGGAGACATGTACTAAACCTGAAGTGTCAATAGCAAGTTAAGATGAACATAATTCAATATCTCTGTTAGTGTTCTAATTTATTGTTTTGTTATTGTGAAGCTGAATGGTATGGCTGAATGAGAAGGCAGTAATGCCAGTGTGCCGTTTTAATTTCTGTTGACCAGTGACAGGAAACTAAAAGTATTGAGCCTTCAGTGCAAAGTTTGTTTTTCTCATGAGATTATCTACAGTCAAGTAGTTGGCTGTTTTAAATCTGATTTTCGTCATTGACATGAAATGGACAGCTTTTTCATGCCAATGTTGAATGAATTTTTTAAATGTGATTGTTTCCTTGGTATGAAGGATTATTTATTGTACTAATATTTTTATATGGAGATTCCTCTCCCCCTAAAAGTGCAATACTTCTGGATTGTATAATTTAAATTATAGACTTCACCAACATCTTATTTATCACATTGCTAAATTTTTCATAGCAATATATTTCATTCAGCCCTCCCTGATGTGTTCTGTTGTCTTTTTCTTTTTTTTCTCTCCTTTTGAAAAATCTTCAAAAATGTACAGTAAGGATTATTATCTCTGTCTATAGGAATATCCTTTAGATTCAAATCTAGTACTATTAATGATAATAGTATGGTTGTGTGTGGTAGAATTCCTTTGTAAGAATGTGAATTTTTTTACAATACAATGACACAGTGATGTGTTGCGGATGATAATTCTATTGGTTACTGGATTTTCTTACCCGCTTCTTGACCGATATGTCTCATGGTCAAGAATCACCCACATGAAACTCACTCGCACACAAATTTTAGCCGAGAGTCTGCCTTGTGTGGATTGGAGTCAGTGTTGTTTGGCTCTGGAGATGACACCGTGAGAGAAGGGCGTCACGCGCGGCGCGCGCAATGCGGGTGGGAGTTCCCTCCAGGAGAGCTCTCTAGCTCTTTAGGCATGGAGTCCAGGCTTCAGGCCATCTGTAGGTGCCAACACGACTGCCTGTAAGGTCACTCATGCGAGACACCAATACGGCCCCAGATCTGTACGAAAACAGAAAATCGAAAGATCCCTCGGACCATCGTCAGAGGAAGGTCGCGCTTCGTCGCTCCTGTGACACACACTGTCAGCGCAACTATAATTAAACCCCTCTTACGGAAACATTCAAAGCCAAAATAAGAGTTCCTTATTTTAGAGGTGATGTTACAGCCCGTGCTTTCTCGGTTCCACACAACCAGGAACGACATGGTCACACTACTATGTTGAATCATAGGCACGCAAAGAAACCAGAACTGTGTGTTTATATAGTATTGAGAATATTATCAGATCTCTTCCCACTACCTAGCGGCCAGGACGTTGTAACTTATCGCGCAACGGAAACGTATTAAACGAAAGTTATAAATGCAATTTGATAGATTTCAGATTTTTGACAATTTTCTGGAACACATTGGCCAATTTCCAAAACCTTGTTTATTTTAATTTTATTTCTGAGATTTACACTCTTTTCCTCGTTGCAACACCCTATTAGAAGCAGTCCCCTGTCTAGGCCCATTGTGCATTTTAGTTTAAATGGAAATAACTCAACCAGACATGTAGTGGTTTACAGTGCATGAGTTTGACAGAAATTGTCATTGAAGCAAATAAGGAAACAATGCAATGTGAAATTTCCGAACTAAAAATCATGAGCTGAAAGTTGCAAAACTGGAAAGTGATGTTAAGTGGTGTTGATGTAAATAGATGTCAAACTAGTCACAACTTAAATAGTGTGTAGAAGTTGACAAGGCTAGGTATGAACACAGGTTGTTTTTTTTGGATTTTATTGCACAAGTGCATATACAATAGTTTATTTTAGAACTTGAGCTTCTGGAAGAACCACTTGTTTTTGCCTGCCTTATACCTGAATGAAAAACAAAATGAAGTAGAATTAATAACAGTCCATGGCAAGGTGTCAAGACTTTTATCTAATATCCTTTGCACAGCAAATACACTGACAATGTGTGAACATTACCATACATTACAGAACACAATAACATACTCAACATGCAAGTGTGTTCTACATATTAGACCTGACTGTTGCCAAATAGTTTGTAAGAGTGAGGTGAATAGAGAACTCACCTTTCTTCAAACTTCACACGGGTCTGGAATCTGAGAACCTTGCGCTTAGCAGGGTCTTTAAGGTCCTTAGGTCCAAGTTTCTCCAGGGGAATATCTACGGTGTACCGGGTGGGCATCAGGTGGTTGTAGTTAACAACCTGCAAAATAGAAAAGAAATTCTTTGTAAAGACCTGATGCTGGAAATTGAGTCATTTCATTTGTGTCAGCTGACTGGTCAAAACAAATTGAACAGTTAACGGAAGTTCTTGAAAACTCTGCAACTATCCAACTAAATGGCAAACAGAAGTCAGAACTACAAACCTTAAGGAAAGGCTTTATCTTGGACCTCTTGTGGATCTTTTTCTTGCCCATCCTCTTGTGGACCTTTCGAGGGTACCGGTCAATACCTGCGACAAGGGCGTGCCCGTACTGCTTGTCACTAGTACCGTCATCATAGTTTCTGATAACAACAGCCTTCCGTCCTGCAAATCGGCCGGATAGCACCAGCACGATTTTGCCCGGTTTCATAATCTTCCCCATTTTGGGTGTTTATAACTGCAACAAGTGAGAAAAAAAACAATGTTAACAAAGAAACTGGAAATGGTAGACAGGCGTCTGGAGAAATAAGAGCTACGAAAGACGCGAGTTTAGGAAAGAGGCCCTTAAAATAATAAACCAGTTAGGCGAAACAGCCACACGGCATACGAGGATCAAATTGGAGGTTAAATCACCGTACGTGTTAGTAATGCAACAAACAAGCTCACGATAATGGGATGTAAAAGAAGTTCGAATACAGAATAAGGCTATAAAAGATTCTAGTGAATTCCAGTAAAAAGTAATTCGACAGAGAAGAAGAAAGGCATTTTCATTAAATCATAACAACGTGAACAGCGCCACTCCACAGTAAGGTGATCAGAATATTTAGGTTGGAATCATAACTGATTAGTGATCAAAAACCCACGATACCGGCTTTCACAGAAACTATTGAGATCAATAAACCGAAATGTGGAACGCAAAAAACACGTACGATAAATTAACAAGGGATGAAATACGATTAAAATTGCTTGGACTGCCTAACGCACTCACTTTCAACGTCGAACCGGAAAGAAGGCACGTCTGCGGCACTGCCTTCTTGGAGAGAAACGGTGCCGGCGGTTTGCTGCTTTGTAGATGAGAATCATAAACGTTCCTGTTGTTGTTGTTCTTCTTTCCAAAACGTTCTGTGTTCCTTTTTCAGTGCAAGTAAGTTTTAAAATTCAATATTTGTTCTATTT